GCTCTGGTCTCCAGCACTGCCCCAAACACCTACACAGGAATAAACCTCTGAAATACCTAGTAAGTGAATGAGCACTCCCCTCAACTTCATACCAGAACGAGTACATCTGCTTGGATCGTATGCAGAATTTGTGTTTATGTTCTGATTCACAGTAACTTCTCCTGGATTTGCATTGAACAAACTAAATAAAAAGATAAATGGTGAAAGATTAAAAAGGATCCATAACATTTTTCACTGAGAACTACCTGAAATGTGCACATACTCTTTTGTTTGTTTTCTTGAGACAGGGTCTCACTATATATCCCTGGCTGTCGTGGAACAAGCTCTGTAGACCAGGCTGGCCTCAGACTCACAGAGATTCGCCTGCCTCTGCCTCCTGAGTGCTGGGATTAAAAGCGCCTGCCACCACCACTGGCTTGAGAAGTTGTAAAATTACTTTGGAGTGAACATAACGAAAACACAGCCCATTACATTCTTGTGGGCACTGCTAAATGAGTGTACATGTAAGCTATTCCATCCTCGTGTTAGAAAGGAAGGTCATGTATGGGAGAACTGGCAAAGGAAACTCGGTAGGTAACAGTGCTCGCCACTGAGCCTGGCAGCCTGCATCCCATCCCTGGAACCACATAGTGGAAGGAGAGGGCCATCTCCCAAAAGCTGTCTTCTGACTTGTACACGAGAACCATGGCTTGTATGCATGGACGCACAGATACACACACAATGTAAAGAAAAAGAAGTTATGCACATAGCCAGACCCCGCCTCAAAACAAAACAAAATGGGTTGGAGAGATAGTTCAGTGGGTAAAGTTCTTGTCGTGCCAGTATGAAGAACTGAGTTCAGATGCCCAGAACCCATGTAAAGCCCGACTGGTGGCATGAATCTCTAAAAGAAAGAAGGAAGGGAGAGACACAAGACTCTCAGGAAGCTCACAGACCAGATAGTCTGGTGTATACAGCTGTGAACATCAAGAAGGCTGACACCAAAGTTTTCCACAGACACACAGACACACACACACACACACACACACACAAATAACTTTTTAAAGGCCTCAAGTTGATAATCTAACTTCCTAAACTAGCAACTAGAGCTGTTAAACCCAAAGCACAGAACAAAACAAAGAACTTGTCACAATACACAGCAGAACTCGTCACGACAGGACTAGGAGGGATGAAAATGATGTTGTACACCAAAATGTCTGTCGCTTTTGGTTTTGGTTTGTTTTTAGTTTTGCTGTTGTTGCACATTTTTTTTGTTGCTTTTTTGTTGTTTGAGACAGCGTTTCTCTGTCTCAGCATTTCTCTAGCCCGAGCTGTCCTAGAACTGGCGTTAAAGACCAGACTGGCCTTGAACTCCGAGATCCACCTGCCTCTGCCACCCTAGTGCTGGAATTAAAGGCATGCACTACCATGTCCAGACATGTCTTAGTTTTTATTACATATTTATTTTGTTAGTGTGGGCATGTGCCTGGTGGTCCCCCACTCTCGGGAGGTTACCATATTGATGCCAAACTTAGTTTGGACACCTGATCAGCAGAACACACTACAGCCCAGAACTCCTGGACTCAAGTGATCCTCCTGTCTCAGTCCCCCAAGTAGCCAGGCTCCGGACACACACTATGCACAACAACCTGCGGGAGTCAATACTTTCTTTCCACCTGTGGGTTCCACGTATCTAACTCAGGTAGGTAAGTGTGACAGCAAGTCCCTTTACCAGATTTGTCATCTGGCCAGTCCATTGTTTATTTTGTTCTGAACACTGTCTGTGGAGATGGATCAGCAGATCAGGGAGCCTGCTGCCAACCCTGCAAACCTGAGTTTGGTCCCACGTGGTAGGAGGAACGAACTCCAGCAAGCGGTCCTCGACCTCTGCGTCTGCACCGAGATTCACGTCACACACACAGCAGTGTAGTGGTGTGCACACCTTTCATACCAGCACTCCGCAGGCAGAGGCAGGCAGAGCTCTGAATTGAAGGCCAGGTTCACCTACAAAACCAGTTCCAGGCCAGCCAAGGTGACACAGTGAGACCTTGGCTCAAAGAAACAAAACCAGCCAACCAAAAACCAGTTAAGTTGGGTGGTGGTAACACACACCTTTAATCCTCAGGTCTCTGAGTTCAAGGACATTTTGGTCTACAGAGCTAGTTCAAGGACAGTCAAGGCTACACAAACACTGTCTCAGAAACAAACAAAAAAAACAATTGAATACTAATAAAACAAAAGCAAAGGAGTATATTTCTAGATGCATAAACAATTATATAGTATACAATAATATTTTTGACTTTTAAAATATTTCACAATACATACTATTGTATTATATAGATATTTCGTTTTTTTGAGAGTAAATTTTATTAAATTATAAAAGTTTCCATTTCCGCCCCTCTTCCCAACACCCTCCCACTCCCCCCACTCCCTCTCCTCCTCCCTCTTCGTCCCTTAGGGCAGTCAGGGTTTCCTGCCCTGTGGGAAGTTCAAGTTCCTCCCCCCTCCCTCCAGGTCCAGGCAGGTGAGTATCTAAACAGACTGGATCCCCAAAATCCAGTATATGCAGAGGAAACAAGTCCCAGTATCATAGTCTATGGCTTTTCAGAAAGACTTCGGGCCAGCCACATTCAGAGAATCCGGCCAAATTCCGAGAATCTGGTTAGATCACGTCCTCGTTCAGTCCCAGTCCAACTGGCCTTGGTAAACTCTCATTAGATTCCTTCCCTTGTATCAGTGGGTGATAGCAGATATTTCGTTTTTATACAGATATTTTAATGCAACTATATAATGTACATTGAATATGTTACTCCAATAAATCTTCCCCTTCCCTTTCCTTTAGTCTCCCTAAACAATTTCACTTCTACCCCATGTCCTATATACATACATAATTTTATGTGTCTATATAAAACCTAGGAACTACACATGAGAAAAAAACATTTGTCACTCTGAGACTATCTTAATTTGCTTTATAAGACTAGCTTTGGGGCTGAAGAAATGGCTCAGAGGTTGAGTACTGGCTGTTCTTCCAGAGGACCTGAGTTCAATTCCCAGCAACCACATGGTGGCTCATAACTATCCATAATGAGATCTGGTGCCCTTTCCTGTCATGCAGGTGTACCTAAAGGCAGAACACTGCATACATAATAAATAAGTAAATCTTAGAAAAAAAGACTACCTCTGGTTGCATTCATTTTTCTGTAAATGGCATAACTTTGCCTTTAGAATGAATGTATGATATATACACTTCTGTGTGGGCATGTGAGTTCGAGCATGCATGTGTGCCACAGCATGCTGTGCAGTTGGAACCTGCAGCTCACCCTACATGATCCAGAAAGCCCCATTCCTGCCTCTTTCTCTTCAAGCCCTGCCCACTCAGATTCTCCAACATAGAAAAGGCACCAAAAAGCCCAGTTTCGAGTTCTTGGTGGCTATAGCAGTTCCTCCCCTGAAATTGCCAGCAGCCCAAGTCCCCGTCTAAATTGTTCGGCTTTTGACCATACTTGGGCATAAACCCAGCTTGTGGCAGACACATCACCCCTCACCTACAACCTATATAAGATCCCTACTTTAGTTCGAGCATGTGGCTTCTCCAGCCTCCATTCTGGGACTGGAGAACCTACCCAGGAGTTGCTTTGCTCAAATAAATTTGTTGTTATATTTTTTTCAATTTGCTTTGGCAGAGAAACCTATTATCAGAGGACAGAAAACCTATTACATGTCTGTTGAAGTCAGAGGATAACTTACACAAGTTTCTCTCCACCATGTGAGCCCCACATATCAAGCTCAAGTTGTTTGGCAGCAAGTGCCTTTACCCATTGATACATCTCCTGGCCATTCTTCTCTATTGCTGACAAAGATTCCATTTGTGGAACTGGAGAGCTGTCTGAGCAGTTGCCACCAAACTGATAACCTGAGTTTAATACTAGGAACTTACATGTATGTGTATGTCAATGGTTCATACCTCCATCATCTCCCAACAAAAATATATGTACAAAAAGGATTGTGTTTTGTACATATAGCATATTTTGTCCATCCTTGTTATTGGACACCTAGATTGGTTCTAAAACACAGCTTCTATGAATGATGCTTCAATAAACACTGATGTACAGTATCATGAAGAATTGTTTTTAATTAATAATTTTTGTTCTTTGATGCATACCACATGAAGACCTGGTGCCTCTGGAGACCAGCCTAGGCTATATTGTGAGAGCATTTCTCATAACCCCCAAGACAAAAGTATACAATAAAGTATTAAAATTCTATGTATTTGATAATATAAAAAGCTGGGGACATGGCTCAGTGGTACAGCATTCGCCCACCTACCACATACACACACACACACACACACACACACACAGGAAAATGTAAAGAAATCCAAGCTATAGTTTATTAAGTAATATAAGAGGAATTCACATGTTGGACTCAATGTTTGGAAGAAACGGATCATCTCATGAACTGGTAGATTTATCAATAGAACTGTGATTTAGAGATTTGGACAGTCTTGTATTATATTTGATAACTGCATGTGGTGATAACTGCACTCCTACAATTCCAAGACTTGCAAGGTGGAGGCAAGAGCTTCGGGTGTTCAAGGTCATCCTCAGCTACAAGTCAGGTTGGAGGACAGCCTGTGCAGCACGTCTCAACGCCACCAAATAAAAACCATTGATAAGCGTTTTTCAGCATTGTACCCCCCACCCCCATGCCCACTCCACTCTGGTCCTTTCACCAGTCACATCGATCCCTGAGTTGGGTCCCATGTGAATCCCTGCCCAGAGGCTGAAAGCAAAACAGAACATAGCATCGCGTTTGCCTGCTTTTTTTCTGTCAGTCGCCAGGAGTGACTCAGAGTTTATGGTTCCGGACTGTGAGGTCCGCACGGGTTGTAAGGAATTTCGTTGACAAGGACGTACGGAGGTGGACGGGACCGTGGGAGGACTGAGGTCGCCTTGGCCATCAGCATCGCAGCTCGCCAGACCAGGTCTGCGGGAGCCTGCGCGCGGTGCGACATCGGGGAGCGTCGTAAAACTGTCGTGATGTGTTGGACTCTAGTGTCCAAACCGAGAAGGAGTCGCCCCCAGAGACCGCCTCATACACCATAGCCAATGCAAAAGCATCAGGATTTTATTAATTCTGTCATGACAGGGTCCCCCAGCATTCGGGAAGCTGAGAGACCTCGAATAGCTGGTACAGTCTACTTTTAAAGTGAAGGGGGGTTGTTCCTTGACCATTATGATTGGCTTGTTCGAAAAGGGCTAATACCAATAATTGACTGGAGAACTATTGTCAGATCAGATGAGGTAAGAGGTCATTTTGACCCCGTTTCCCAGGGGACTGAGTCAAAACATACATATGTGGGTAATTGTTCAGGAACTGAGTACGTGCATGTGTAGCTGTTAGGTCCTTGGTTCCCAGGGGAGGAGGGGAAGCACTGAGGCACAGAGGCTGAGAGGGTTTGGAATTGTCAGAAATGGCTTCAGAATTGTCTAAAATCTTACAATGTCTTGTCTTTGCCGCACGACAGCGATTGTTTTTTCCACTTTACAGCCTCCAAACCTTTATAATTTTCGTTCTTCTTTTTTAAACCACAAGAAAAAGGTATTTTCGCCGTTGGATATGTTGGATATGCGCCGTTGGAGCATCCCCGAGTGTCCTCCCGCCTCTTGGACCTGGAAACTGCCATGTGCATGGGTGAGCGCCGGGAGGGAGTAGGCGCAGCAGTTTGGATGTGGCTGCCTCTGCTGAGCACTGGGTCCCATGCTAAGCGTTGGGGGGAAAAATTTTAGGTATATATTGTATGTAGTTTTTTTTAATTTATATTGATTATATGTACAAATATGTGCTTAAGTGGTTCGAGAGGACCTTTCTGTTCTTAAGCAATAAACATTTTTGTTAATTTTTACCTTTAAATCGATCCCAATACATGCAAAATACTAAGAAATATAGACAATAAAAAGTAAGTAATGAGGGGGCTGGAGAGATGGCTGTTGTGTAAGAGAGCTCGCTGCTCTTCCAGCCGGCAGTTTCCACAACCTCCTGAATCTGTCCTCGGGATCCCGCACCCTCTTTCTAGCCCATGAAGGTACCTGCATACATGTGGTTTACACACACACACATACACACACACACACACACACACACACACGAATAAATTTTTTAAAACTAATTAATGATACCCCTTTGTTTTGTTTAACTTTGTTTTTTTGAGACAGGGTTACACAGAGAAACCCTGACTGTCCTGGAACTCACTTTGTAAACTCCTCAAACTCCCAGAGATTCACCTGCCTTTACCTCCCGAGTGCTGGGGTTGAAGGTGTGTGCCACCACTGCCTACCTAATACACTATTTTTTAAATAAATTTTAAGATTCATAACTGAATTTCATACACAAATACTAATTTCTGGCTAGCCATACTTCAGGCCTCAGTGATTTATGTATTTGGTTGGGTTTTTATTTTGTTTTGTTGGTGGTGGTGTTTTAATTTTTGCTGTTTGTTGTCGTTTTGTTGGTGGTGTTTTGTTTTGTTTTTCAAGACAAGGTTTCTCTGTGTAGCCCTGGCTGTCCTGGAACTTGCTCTGTAGTCCACGCTGGCATCAAACCTGGAGATCACCTGCCTTTGTCTCTCAAGTGCTGCGATTAAAGACACACGCCACCATCACACAGCTAGTTATCATATTTTCATTTTTCAGTTGTGTGTGTGTGTGTGTGTGGAGTCTCTCCTACCACGTAGGTCCAGAGGATCAAGCTCAGCTCATCAGGCTTGGCTTGATCAGCTGAGCTGGCCCATCTCTTTGGCACTATTTAGCGTTTGTTTTGTTTTTACTCTTTTCGATGTTTGAGTCTTTTTGAGACAACATCTCACTATATAGCATTGGCTGTCCTGGAACTTGCTATGTGAATGAGGCTGGCCTTGAAGACCTGCCTACCTCTGCCTCCCAAGTGCTTGAATTAAAGGCTTGAATTAAACACATGGCCCTATTTATTCTTTTACAATTTCATACATAATATATATCTAAGGAGTGCCCTTTTTCTTCTTAGGGTGCTGAGAATTAATTGAACCTGGGGTTTCACACATGACAGACCAGTGTTCTACCACTGTCTTTGTTTCTTAATTTTAAGAAAGGACTTCTGTTTGTTTATTTGTTTTGTTTCGTTTTGTTTTGTTTTTTGAGACAGGGTTTCTCTGTAACAGCCCTAGCTGTCCTGGAACTAGCTCTTGCAGACCAGGCTGGCCTCCAACTCATAGAGATTCACCTGCCCCGGCCTTCCAAGTGCTGGGATTAAAAGTGTGTGCCACCACTGCCCAGCTCTTGAGAAAGGAAGAAGCTGAGGAAGAATCTATTATGCAGCATGTAACTGACAGGAAGATTAAGTATTCCAATAATGTAAATAGAGGACAAATAGGAGAGAGCATGAGAGGGACGTAATTTGACAGGTGGGATTGGTTCCAGGAACTAGAGTCAGTGAACACTAGAAAGCTCACCACATAAATTGCTTATGGTAATTCCCAGGATTGGCCAGTGTTTTATATTTGTAAACAGATACAATCTCTTTAGGTGGATTTGTTGTTCTTCTTACCACCCAAATCATGGTTCTCATTCCCTGAAAAAGACACCTAGTTCAATTGAACATTCCTGTAGAACTCCTTCAATATGCCCACACATCTGGAGATGGGGGTCACTCCATAGGTAACTACCCAGACCTCCTCCTACAGGGGAGTCTTTGAAGAGGCCAGGGCTGAGTGACATTCCTGTTGCCTTCTCTGTTTCCTTAAAAGTCTTCCTAATAAGGTAGCTGACATAGTGCAGCTTTTGGGGGGAAGGTGTATGTGTATTACTGAGGATTGAACCTAGGGTTTCACATTCTGGGCATGTTTGTCCTTTAAAAAGTTGTTTACATTATTTATTGTGGCTATTACATTATTCTTACATTTATTTATTTGTGTGAAATTAAGTAGATGTGGAGGTCACAGAACAGCCTGGTAACATGCTTGTTGTACAAGTGTGAAGACCTGAATTCAGATTCCTGACACCCACATAAAAACACTGGGCATGGTAGCACACGCATGGAATCCCAGCACTAGAGTAGCCAGTCAGCTCCAGGTTATATAAGAGACCCTGTCTCGAAAAAAAAAAATTAAGTAGACAGCCAGGTGGTGGTGATACATGTCTTTAATCCCGGTACTCGGGAGGCAGAGGCAGGTATTATCTCTGAGTTCAAAGACAGCCTTGTCTACAGAGTGAGTTCCAGGACAGCCAAGGCTACAGAGAAAAACTCTGTCTGGGGCAGGGAAAGTGGTATTGGGCATGGTGGTACACACCTTTAATTCTAGCACTTGGGAGGCAAAGGCAGGTGGACCTCTATGAGTTTGAGGACAGTCTGGTCAACAGATTTCCAGGGCAGTACAGTGAGACCCTGTCTCAAAAAATTAAATAAAAAAGATGGAGAAGCTCCTGAGAAATACCCAGCATTGACTACACATACACATGCCTCTGACTGGTTAGATCAAGCCCACTAAAATATTTTTCCCATTGATAATTCACCTTAGGGCGCTAGAGATATAGTTCAAAACATTAGATGTGAAACTATGAGGGCCAGAGTTCAGATCCCAGCATATAATTAATCAGGGTATTGTGCAAACAGCCTAACTCCAGCTCTGGGGGGTAGTCTTTGTCTTTTGGCCTTTGTACGCAGATGAGCATTCTCACCCTCACACTTGTACACATACACACAAACATTAAAAACATAAACTGGGCTGGTGAGATGACTCATTCGGTAAACGTACTTGCTGTATAGATATGAGAACCTGCGTTCAGTTCCTGGATCCCATGGTAGAAGGAGAGAACTGATTCCTGAAAGGTGTCCTCTGACCTCCACGCAAGTGCCAGTCAACACACACATTCCACTTTGTTTAGGTCTCCACTTCAGGCTTTCATGACATTTGCAAAGGCTCTGAGTATTTATCATATCCTGTTATCTAGAAACAGATCAGAGATTGTGTGAGCCCTCCAGAGAAGGTGATCATGAGAGAGGGATTAGGAAGGTGGAGAAATGAGGTAGAGATCGTGAAGTCACATGTCCATCGTAAAGCAGTCACAGCACACTAGCTGATTAGTGGGTTCCTCTAGACCTCAGCTGGCTCTACAGTCAGCGAAGAAGTGCTCAACTCTAACACATCCCTTTGCTGGGTAGTGTGCAGAGAGATGTGGCAATCCACTGGAAACACACTTTGAATTTGTGGCATTTTCTTTATTTGTTCAAAATCACCCAAAGGGGACACTTTGCTCCATCTGGGACTCGCAGCTTGAGGTTGGCTTCCCCAGGTGATGCCTGCTTCATATTTTGAGCATGCAATTTGCTGATATTCTGCTATATATCTGTTGTTTCCTTTTATCTGCTCTATAGTAATTCTATGTTTGCTTTTGTTTGTTATGTACTTAATAACCTCATTCCAAAGCAAGAATAGAGCTTTCGTAGATCATACTCCGGCTGGACAGAACAGCGTGCTGCGACTGAGGACTTGATCTCTCTGAGCTGATACTTCCGTACATGTAAAGTGAGACCATTCCAGTCTTCCTGGTGGGCTACATGGCTTACAGAGTCTTTTCCTGGCCCCAGATGAGTTAGAGCTGCTCTGATGTCTGGCAGTAATGTGTTTATCCAGTCAGGCATGGTGGGGCCTGCTTATAATCTCAGCACTTGAAAGTCAAGTAGATCAGGAGGTCAAGGCCAACCTAGGCTATGGAAAACCCTGTCTCAAAAAGAAGAAAACAAATAGGGCCAGCAAGATGGCTCAGTGGGTAAAGGGCACTTGCAGCCAAACCTGGTGACCTGAGTTCAACGCCTGAAACACACATGGTAGGAGAGAACAGAGTCTCCCATGTGTGTGGTATAACATTTCTACAACTCTATACAGACAATAAATAAATATAAAAGTTTTATTTTTAAAATTATTTTTGATTTATTTGTGTGAATATTTTGCTTCCATGTATGTTTGTATCATGTGCATCCTGGAACTGGAGTTACGGATGGTTGTCAACCACCATTTGGGTGCTGGGAATTGAACCTGGGTCCTCTGCAGGAATAAGTGCTTTTAACAGTGAGCCATTTCGACAGCCCTAAAAGTATTTTTTAAAATAGTGTATGTATCTGATTTTTCTCAAGTGTATAGGATTTTGTGTATCTGACACTAGGATCAATGAACTGAAGAACGTGGAGGAGAAAGATAGGAATTTCCGGGTTCTTACACCTTCTCTTTCTTCCAGGTTGTCCCTGTTGACCCAGTCTGCCTTGAGGAAAAGAAAAAGGTAGCCCACCGCCTGAGAGATTTTTATCAGGTATGCAGACTGCCTCACAAAATGCCGAGTGTGCTGCACCAGGTCAAGTGTTTCCATCCAGGTAGATGTGACTCTGCAGACTTCACAGAGCCAACAATCAAGGCTAAAACCCCAGTTGTACTTCCCCAGGGGTAGCTCCACACTCACTGGTGCAATGTTACCTGAAATTACTTCCACTCAGGATCTCAGTAACTTCTGATTAATGTCGATACTCACGGTGACACTGGTGTGTTTGTTATTTTGCCAAGTATTCTGAAAGAATTTTAAGGGGAAAGAGCATATCTTTTGTCTGCTGTGTGTGGGAGAGTGAAGCTCTTGGTACAGCACTTGCTTACAGTTGCCTCTAATGCCAGCTCCAGGAGACCCGATGTGCTCTTCCAGCCTCCATGGACACCTGCACACGTGTACACACAAAAGCACACATACACATAGTAAAAGTAAAATTTTTTAAAAAAAAGAAATCGAAAATCATCCTCTTTGGTAGAGACAGCAGGATCAAGAGTTCAAGGTCATGATCAGCTACAGACCAAGTTAGAGACCAGTTTGGGAATATGTAAGATTATTTTTAGAAAATGCTGGGGCTGGTGAGATGGCTCAGCAAGTTAAGACATTTGCTGGAAACCCTGGAGACTTAAGTTCCCATGAACCCACATGACAGAAGGAAAGAACTAAAGCCGCAAATTGTCCTCTGACCTCCAGTATTTGCTGTGGTGGGTGGACCCTGCCCCCCTCAATGAAATAAGTTCATTTTTGTTTGCTTGTTTTAAATTATGTGCGTACTTGCCTGTATGTATATCTATACCATGTGCATATCTGGTACCTACAGAGGTCAGAAGAGGGCATTAGAACCCCTGGAACTGGAGTTAGGGGACTCCATTTATGATGGTTTATGAGCCGCCATGTTGATGCTGGGATGGGAACAGAATCCAGGTCGTTTGCAAGACCAACAAGTGCTCTTAGTCACTGAGTCATCTCTAGCCCCAAGAAACAAGTCCTTCCCGCATCTCTGGGTTTGTCGTTGTTTTCGAGACAGGGTTTCTTTTATGTATCCTTGGCTGTCCTAGAACTAGCTCTGTTGACCAGGCTGGCCTTGAACTCACAGAAATCCACCTGCTGAAACAAGTTCTCTTTTGTAAAAAAAAATCCTGAAACCGGAGATGACTCAGTGGGTAAAGTTCTTGCTGTGCAAGTATGAGGACCAGAGTTCAAATCCCCAGCACCCATGAACATGCCAGATGGTTGTGGGAGCATTTAATTTCAGTAACTTGTAATTTCAGTCCTCTGGAGGCAGAGCCAGGATCTCTTCAGTGAGCCTGCTAGTTAGACTAGCTGACTAAGTGAGCAGTGGTTTCAATAAAAGACCCTGCCTCAGTATGTTAGTTTGCGAGCCATTGAGGAAGATACCCAATATTGACTTTTTGCCTCTAATACACATGTACCCATATATTTGAATACCTATACACACATGGATACACATTACACACAAAAAAGTATAATTTTTTTCTTTTTATTTTCTTTTTTTCTGTGCTTGGAATTGAACCTAGGGCCTTGAATATTCTCAACAAGCACTCTACCACTAAACTGTTATCTCCCAACCCAAAGACTGCTCATCGAACCCTGTTTCCCAAGTGTTAGGGAATAGAGAGACAGGATGTTTGTTTAGTTGTGAGAAGGGTCACTAAAGCCATATATCCATAGGAAATGGGCAGTGACCGTGGACAGGGAGATCTCCTAGACCACCAGTCCCTGAAGCAAACAATGGAAGTCCTCGGATCTCGTGTCTTAATCTATAATGAACATTGGTAACTTGTACTCAGGATGGCATGTATATGACTTAGGACTTGGTGACCTTTGATGATGTGGCTGTGGACTTCACCCAAGAGGAGTGGGTTATAATGGATCAAGCTCAGAGAGACCTCTACAGAGAGGTGGTGCTGGAAAACTACCAGAACCTGTTCTCAGCAGGTAGGACTGCCACCCACCCTCTTGGCCTCTTAGGGAGGATGATGTTCTGGGCACACTGTGGGATCAGTGGTCTCGATCTGAATACACTAGGAATAAAGAGACACATTGGGAGGAAAGTATTTTTCCAGACAGGGTTACTCTGTGTAGCCTGGCTGTCCTGGAACTTTTTTGTAGACCGGGCTGACTCAGAGATTAAAGGTGTGTGCCTCCCCTGCCCAGCTCAATTTTAATCATATTTTTGTTTGTTTTTGGTTCTTTTTAGAGTTTTAATTTCATGTGTATGGGTGTCTTCTTTTTATGTATATATGTTCAGAATTCACGGGAGGGTGGTAGATCCCCATAAAGTTGGGTTAAAAATGGTGTGAGCCATTGCTGGGTTCAGTTCTAAGAACCGGGTCCTTTGGAAGAGCAGCCAGTGCTGTTGACTGCTGAGCCAGCTCTCCAGCCTCTCAATAGTGTTTTGAGTTTCAACAGTAAAACTAGTATGAATTTCTATTTTTTTTCCCCAGTTTTACAGATTGAAAATTTTTCCTGAAATCTGAGTATAGCGGTTGGGAATGTGGCTCAGTTGCTAGAATATCTGCCTGGCATGCATGAAGTCCTGGGTTAATCCCTTACCACATAAACTGGATATGGCAACATATATCTGTAATCCTATTACTTGGGGTGAAGACAGGAATCTCAGCTATGAAGCCTGGCTAAGCTTAAGCTATATGGACTCGTTTTGGTTTTTTTGTTGTTGTTGTTGTTGTTTAGTTTTGTTTTTGTTTTGTTTTTTGGTTTGCTTTTGTCTTGTGTTTTGTTTTTTGGAACAGTTTCTCTGTGTAACAGCTCTGGTTCTCCCGGAACCCACTTTGTAGACTTGAACTCACAGAGATCTGCTTGTCTCTGCCTCACAAGTGTTGGATTAAAGGTCTATGCTACCACCGCCTGGCTGCTACACAAATTTTTATATTCCCCTCCCCTGTAAAAAAGAAAAAAGTCAGGTGTGGCAGGCTCCTTCTGTAACTCCAGCACTCGAGAGGTTAAAGCAGGACTATCACCTAGAGTTTGAGGTCAACCTAGGCTACATGGGTTCAAGGCTAGGGTGGGCTATGTAACAAAACCCTATCTCAGAATAAATAAATAAGTAGAAAAGAAATCAAGGGGGGAGGGGAAATCTTTTTTCAGATTTTTTTTAATTTTAAATGTATAAAAATACATCATGCATGCATGTTGTTGGATTTTCTTTTACTCTAGCCCACATTGGAATGGCAAAATGTTGTTCGTTGTTTTTTCTCTTTTTACTTTTTAGACTCTGGGGTCTCGCCACCCAGCTCCCAAATAAATCACACACACAGAGGCTTATTATTACTTATAAATGCCTAGCTTTAATTTGGATTGTTTCTTTCTTAATTTTTTTTTGTTTTGTTTTTTTGATATAGCATTTCTATGTAGCTTTGGAGCCTGTCCGGGAACTAGCTCTTGTAGACCAGGCTGACCTCGAACTCACAGAGATCCACCTGCCTCCACCGCTGTTTCTTTTTTATTTTTTTCAGTTTTTTAATTGATATTTATTGAGCTCTACATTTTTCTCTGCTTCCGTCCCTGCCTCTCCCCTCCTTCCTTCAATCCTCCCCCAAGGTCCCCATGCTCCCAATTTACTCAGGAGATCTTGTCTTTTTATACTTTCTATTTCCCATGTAGATTAGATCTATGTAAGTTTCTCTTAGTGTCCTCATTGTTGTCTAAGTTCTCTGGATTGTGGTTTGTAGGCTGGCTTTCTTTGCTTTATGTTTAAAAACCACCTACGAGTGATAATTGTCTTTGTGTCTGTTCTTATGCCAGTACCAGGCTGTTTTCCGTACTGTGGCTACTTGGCTTGTTTCTAACCAGCTTTTCTTTACCTAAATTATCCTGTCTGTCTTTTCCTCACGGCTTTTAATTTTCTCTATTTCTGTACAACTTTTCTTTCTTTCTTACTCTGTTGCTGGTTGTGAAGCTGAGTGGCTGGCCCCTTCTTTTCTCACTCCTTGATCTCTCTTCTTTGATCCCTGCTTTCTCCTTCTATTTCTTCTCTCTGCCTGCCAGCCCCGCCTATCCTTTCTCCTGCCTTGCTGTTGGCCATTCAGTGCTTATTAGACCATCAGATTTTAGACAGGCAAAGAATCATGGCTCCACAGTTAAACAAATGTAACATAAAAGAATGCAACACATCTTTGTATCATTAAAACAAATGTTCCACAGCGTAAACAAAAATAACATATCTTAAAATAACATTCCACAAGACACACATTGCCCAAGGAGGTCAGAGAAGGCATTAGATGCCCTGGAACAGCTGTGAGCTGCCTCAAGAACAGCAAATGCTCCTAAGTGCTAAGCCATTTCTTTAGCACCCCACTCCATCCCTTTTTCTCCAGTAGGTACTCTGACTGGCCTCGAACTTGCTACTCTAAGAGAGCCACCAGCCTGTCTCCCGCCCACGTGCTAGAAGTAAAGGTGTATACTACCACACTTGGTTCAAGAATCATTCTTACCTTAGATATTAAGACACTAGCTAGCCAGGCATGGTGGCACACACCTTTAATCCCAGCACTTGGGAGGCAGAGGCAAGCCTACTCTACAAATTAAGTTTCATGACAACCAGGGTTACATAGAGAAACCGTCTTGAAAATCTGCTCCCCCCCACCAAAGACACTGCTTCAGCATGAGATTTTTTTTCTTTCCTTTCATAGAGTAGGGTCTGCCTTCATACCCGTGCTGGCCTCGTGCTCTCTGTACCTAAGGCACACTGGCCTTGAACTCACTGTCTTCCTGCCTCCTTCCAAAGCTGTGATTTCGAGGATGTGCCATACCTGGCTTGAAAACTTCTCATATTTTTATTTAAATGAAGCATTTTATGTTTGGTGTGGCCTGATTGGCAGCGTCGGTGCCACACTGTCTGTGGGGCAGTTACTGAGTAGACAGTGTTGCTGTTGAAGGGCAGGGGATCTGAGTAGTGAGGGTGCACACAGTGTGGATCTGATGGACAAAGGGGTGACTTCATCCCATGGTGGGGTGAGTAGGAAGCTGTGAGTTTTCTTCAGCTACTAATAGAATTTTGCAGTTTAAAACTTAGAAATTATTTCTGGAATTTTCTATATAATATTTTTGGTTTCCAGTGGATGGTGAATTCCATAACCTATAGAAACTAATATTGGAGCTATGGGGTGATTTTTATAATGTATGTGTTTACATGAATGAAGGCACGTGTGCCATAGGGCATGTGTGCAGGGAAGTAAGAGGGCAGACTCTGGTGTCAGTCCTCACCTTTCATTTTAGACAGGGTTTGTTGTTGTGTACTTGCTGCGTACACCAGCCTATCTGGCCTGTGAGTTTCTGGGTTATCCTATTTCTGCCTCCTATCTCTTCATGAGTACCAGGATTATAGATGCTGTGTTACTGTGTCTGGCTTTTACATGGTTTCTGGGAATTTGAACTCAGGTCTTCATGCTTCTATAGATCAACTTTATCCATTGAGCCTTCTCCCCATCGCCTACAAGGTGGTTTTTGTCCCCCACCCCAGACGGTGTTCTGGAGCTAGCTCTCGCAGAGCCCAGCTCCTGGCGTCTGAATCTCAACAAGCCACTGACCTGATGAACCTGACCCTGATCTGTGAGATGCTGCTATAACTTTTTCCCTTGAAGAACAAATATTTTTGTTTCACCCTGTTTTCTGTTTGACTGAGTGTTAATGTTTTGTTAATGTGTAAGAGCTTTAACTTGGGGTTTTTTTAGGGTTCAGAAACAGGTGATCTACATGCTTAGTCCTTCTGAAGCATTTCCCATGCATTCTTTAGAAACAGCTCTGCAGTGCTTGGAGAAGCGGCACAGACTTTTACTCTTAGCACTTGGAAAACTTAGGAGGGCAGGTTGGCCTGGGCTACAGAATGTAAAATTCTTTCTCAACAACAAGAAAAAGCAGAAGCTAGAGTAATGACTCAGTGCTAAAAACACTGGCTGCTTTTCAGTTTCTATGGGGTTCAGTGGCCTCTTTTGGCCTCTAAGGGCACTTTCACATCGGTACACACATGCACACAAATAAACATTAAAATAAATCTTTAAAAACAGGGAGGGGGCTGGAGAGATGGCTCAAAAGTTAAGAACAATGGCTACTCTTCCAGAGGACCAGTGTTCAATTCCCAGCACACATGTGGCAGCTTACAGTTGTCTGTAACTCCAGTTCCAGGGGATCCAATGCCCTTTTCTGGCCTCTAAGGGCACGACACACATGTGGTAAACAGACATAGTATGCAAGCAAAACACCATATGCAGAAAATAATAATAAAAATAAACAATAGTATATAATAAAGATGATGATGCTTGTTGGCTAGAGAGCTGGCTTACAGGTTAAGAGCACTTGTTGCTCTTGCAGAGAATCTGGGTTCCCTTCCTGTCACTCACAAAGTGGTTCACAACCATGTGTAACTCTATCAGCCTGTGCCCTCTTCTGCATTCCTCGGACACCAAGTACTACATGGTGTACATACACACATACATACATACATACATACATACATACAAAACACTCACACATAAAATGAATAAATCTAATAAAGAAATTAGAAAGAGGAAAAATGTGTGTGGGGGTGATAAATGCTTCAGGGCAAGCGTGAGGGTCTGAGTTCAGTTCCTCAGTACTATTAAAAAAAGCCATGTGTAGCAGCTGCACTGGTACGGGAATTTGAAGGGTCCCTGGGGACTTCCTTGGGCAGTTTAACTAAATTATTGAGCTGCAGGTAAAATGTGATTATGTTTCAAAAAAATTATGGATCCAGGAAGATGTAGTGATTAGTGCCTTTAATCCAGCACTTGGGAGGTAGAGGCCAGGAATCTCTGTGAATCTCTGTGAATTTGAGGCCATCCTGATCTATTTAATAAGTTCTAGGCCAGCCAGGGCTACACAGTGAGACTCTGTCTCAAATCTAAAACAGAAAAACTACATGTGCTGGTGTGCTCTTATATTCCCAGTGCGTGGGCAGCGCAGGAGCTTGGGGATTGGTTAGCCAACCTAGTCTTCATCAGTGAACTGCAGGGCTAGGGACTCAAGGATATCCTAGAGATGACTCAAGAATAAAGCGTTTGACTGTACCATCATGAGGAGCACAGTTTGCACCAAAAACCCATGTGAAAAGTAGGCAGGTACAGGGCTGCCTGTGATTCCCAGCATTCAGAAGGGAGACAGGAGATCCCCCTGGAAAGTTGGCGAGCTAGAGTGGCTGTAGCTGATGGCCCTGGATGCCTCAGTATATATAAAAGGTGGGCAGTGGTCAAGGAAAACACCTGACATCAACTTTGGACTCACACACGTGTGCACATGTGCACTCACACCACACATGCACACACAAAGGGAGGGAAAGAGGGTACTAAATTTACCGTTAATGGTTTTTTTTCTGTTGAATATGAACCACATCCAATAATACATTTTCCTTCTTTGTATAGGATGTGACGTCATCAAACCCAGTCTGATCTCATGGTTGGAGGAGGAAGATTTACAGGAAGTGCAAAGAGAAGGTTTCCAGGATGAGTAGTCAAGGGGAAACAGTTGTGATCAGGAAGTTCCTTAAGTTTGGCAATAGGATGAAGGGTTTGGGGGGGGGGGTTGTTTGTTTGTTTGTTTGTTTTGTTTTTGTTTTCTTCCCTGTGAGTCAGGGTCTCACTGTATAGCCCAGGCTGGCCCCTACAATATTCCCACCTTCCCCTTCTGGATTCTGGGGTTGTGGATGTACACCACCACACACAGCATAATGAAACTTTTTTTGTCTATAATTAAAACTTTATTGAAAAACTGACACCAAAATAGGAGATCACTGTTGTATACTTTATAAAATCAAACACAGCTACATTGTCTTGGTAGAGTCACTAAACTTGGTAAGGCTTTCTGTGAAAAACGCAAACTCAGGAACTTGTATAGATGATTAGTGTTGCTTTCTTCTAAATGAACAGCCTTCTGTGAGCCTGGCTTTTCCTCCTGTTGGCTGGCACAAAACTGTTGAACAACCTACACAAAGAACCACTGTCTGAGCATGGCTGAAAACTGTAGTAATCTTGTAGCAGCCTGGACATTTCACATCCATGAAGTAAGAATTTGGGCTCTGAACCAGCCGTTTCTTCTTATGTTTTTTCTTTTTATCTTCCAAGGAAGGGTGTAAAAGATCTCTAGCCAGAGGCATGGTGACAGCTTGGCCAGCACCGGCGCTCCAGATCTCTGAGGTGAGGTGCTTGCTGGCGAGCGCTCGGCTACAACTATGAAACTTTTTTTTCAGCATTAAAGATTAAACCTTGAGCTTGCTTAGGAACACTCTTACTCCTGAGCTACAGCTCCAGTCTCATAACGAAACTCTCAGATACAGCTGATCTCAGAAGGTGTCAGCCCTTTCTCTGAGAAGCAATTCTGGATTTCTTACACTTTGCTCAGACTTTTTCTGTGGTCCCACAAAAATGCCTGTTCTGTTTCTTATTTGTGATTTTGTCCTAATCTGTACTGAGATCTTTCCTCATCATCATCCCTGATGATGCTCTTTTCCTTTCTCAGTTTTCATTTCTAAAAAGCAGTTTGTAGTTGGGTGGTGGTGCACACCTTTAATCCCAGCACTCAGAAGGCAAAGGTGGGGGAGTTTTGGGTTTGAGGCCAACCTGGTCTACAGAACAAGTTCCAGGACAGCCAGGGCTACACAAGAGACTCTGTCTTGAGGGGAAAAAGAAGAAAAAAAAATTGTAACTCTTTAAAACTATGACTCATGTTTTTACCCTTGCCAAGTTTTAACCTATTAAAATTATCAAAATTTAGTTTCTTCCTTTTTGTAGTTTTATTTATTTTGGTGGGATTTCACACTGTAGTCACGGCTGGCTGTAAACTCAAGAGTCCTTCTGCCTCAGCCCACACTATCACCACACTGGCAAGCCTTCTCATGTTCTATTCCTGCAACACACCTCTCATTTCTAATCTGGATTCTGTTTTGTTTGTTTGTTTGTTTTTTAAAGATTTATTTATTATGTATACAACATTCCTTCCTTGTGTGTCTGCAGGCCAGAAGAGGGCACCAGATCTCATACAGATGGATGTGAACCACCATGTGGTTGCTGGGAATTGAACTCAGAACCTCTGGAAGAGCAGCCAGTGCTCTTAACCTCTGAGCCATCTCTTCAGCCCCCTGGATTCTGTTTTGTTTTTATGTCTCTTTTAGAATGGGAGATGCAAGGCACTTTAAGGGAACAAACTTCTAAGGTGATGCAAATGGTAAGATTAACCAAGGATGTTAACAGTTCCCATGCTCTGAAAGACTAGAAATCCACTGTGGAACTGGGTGGAAATTAGTGGCATTCACTCAGGATGATGTAGGTAGGGGAGCAGCATTTTAAGCCAGAAACACTCACTGTAACAGTGTCTGACCCATCATGAAACCAAATCCTTCAAAGTTCCCACAAGTGCACATCCTACGTGTGTAACTAGACATTGAATTAACTTTTTATTGATTCTTTGTGAATTTCACATCATGTATCTCAATCCTATTAACCTCCTTATCCCTTCATAGCTGCCCTTTGCCCTGGTTATCCTCTCCCCCCACCAAGATAAAATAAAATTTAAACAAAAAAAAATTGCGGAAGCTGTAATATGGCTCAGTGAGTCACACAGTATACCCTTTGGTCCATACATCTTTACTTGCAAGTGTACATTGCAGTAAGTCCCTGGTCTGGCTCAAGGCCTCCGGCTTCTGCTACACTATAGATACGGGTGTATAAATATAGTCCCTCACTGGGACTGCTCTTGGATACTCTGTTGTTGCTCTGTGTCATTGAGATGTTGCCCTGCAACTTTGGATCTGTAGAACTAGCCCCTTCACATGCTCCAGCAGTTCATAGATAGGTAGACATTGGGGTAAACCAACTCATAGCCCTAGTTCTGGGCCTGGGTGGTTCTGGGCTGGGCTGGGCTCCCTCATCCTCACCACCAGGGCTAGCTTACCCAATGCAGCAGGTAGCAAGGAGTGGGGCTAGTTCTCCTACTTTCACTCCCTTGGGGACCTGCTCACCTGCATCTACACCACCAGGGCCAGCTCTGCTGTACTGCCCAGGTAAAGTGCAGGGCCAGCTCTCCAGCTCTTACATCCCTGAGGCTAGCTCTCCCACCTGCCACAAGTGGTGAGGGGAAGGGAAGGGCATCTTTCTGTCACCCAGGATACCACAGGGCAGACAAGGAGGGGCAGGATCAGCTCTGTTATTCTTACACCATCAGGGCTGGCTCACCCATGCCCCTGAAACAGGGTCAGCTCTACTATGCTGCCCAGGCAAGGTGCAGGGCTAGATATTGAACTTTTAAAGCAGTTTATTTATCTGTGTTTTATTTATGTGTTTTGTGTGTGTGTGTGTGTTTGTGTGTGTGTCTGAATGCGTGCACGCACGTGTGTATGCATATACTCATGTGCACACTGGCATACATGTACCAGGGAAGTTTATGCCATGGCCCTCTTGTAGAAGTCAGATAAGAGCTTTTAGGACTTGGTTCTCTCCTTCAACCATGTTGAGACATCATCTTTTTTGTGTCTGCTACCGCATAAACTTCTGTCCAATTCTCCTGTTTCTGCCTTCCATCTCAAAGTGGTAGTGCTGGGATTACAGATGTGTGCTACTGTATCTAGTTTGGGGGTCAATCGCCCATTGTCAGGCTTGCATGGCAAGAACTTTACCTGCTAAGCCATCTTCCTGGCTCTTTAAAACAATTTTGTAACATGCTTAACACTTTTTAAACACTTAAGCTGATTCTAGCATTATTGTTCTTTCAGTTTGATTACAAATCACTTTAAGAATGTCATGAAAATGGTAAAAATCATAATCATCTTCTAGTAATACATTAAAAAAAAGATGGGGTCTCATGTAGCCCTATCCTCAGATTTGCTATGCTGCTAAGGATGGTAGCTCCTGACGCTCCTGTCTCCATCTTCTACATGCTGGGTTATAAGTACACTCCATGCTAGCTCTGAATAATGTACTTTAATCATTGTTCATTCATACAGAGAAGATGCAACGTTGTTGGGGACCTCCAAAATTAATTTATAGAAATTTCTTGTATGACTATGAAAGAACTGGGATTTAATCTATAGAAAATTAATGCAAATGAGAAACATTTAAGAGAAATAGAATTCTCCTTTGTAAGAGAACTCTCTTTGGTACCTACTCTGAATATGGTGAATTTGGGGTACCCAATCTCTACTTAAAAGTTTGGGCTTCAGAAATTCTACAAATATGCATCCTCATATATGTAACTCTGCTTTAAGAGTCTTAAAAGAATTTTATGAAGACATGCATGAGTCATTTCAAAGTTAGAACAGATTATAAGTGATTCTTTCATTAGGATTCCTTCATTCAACTAGGAAAAAAAGCAGCAGAAATTGTATACATGTAATAAGAATTTTAAGTATCTAATAATGTTCCTGTCTTTATAAGGATTGAAATCCTTAATTTTGAACAATACATTAATTATATTTATTTTTTCATCAACAGGCAGGAAGACATAATGCTTTGGAACTCTGTGATTATATGCAATATAAAGATATCTTCAGAGAACATTCATATTTTAAAAGGCATATGCAAACCGAAAATTCAAAGAACACCTGTGACTCTAATCAGTATGGAAAGCATGTTCCCACTCTGTATAAGGAAACACCTATGAGACAGGAATTTTCTGTGTTGAATCTGTATGCAGGAAACTTTAGTCTGACCCCAAATGTCACTCAGCAGGGAACAGGCTTGCAGGACAAACCTGTTGAATGCACTACCTTCCTTAGTCAGTCATATTTTAAGGCATGACATATATGAGAATCTATAATGGGGAAAATTCTGTGAATTGATTCGATTTGCAGGAGATTTTACATGTCCCACAAGTGGAGCTCTGCCTATTCAAAAGTATACCATAAAAGCCTATGAGTGTAAGACTTGTGGGAAAGTCTTTGGGTATTCTTCAAATCTTAATAGTCACATGCGGACCCACACTGGGGAAAAACTTTATCAATGTAAAATATGTAGGAAATCCTTTACTACTTCTTCAAGTCTAACTGAACATTTCAGAATTCATACTGGAGAAAAAAACATATAAGTGTAAGAAATGTGGAAAAGCTTTTACCAAGCACTCGGGACTTTCTACACATGTACAAACACATGCTGAACAAAAGTCCTATGTCTGGGAGATCCTTCACTATTTCTTCAAAGATGATTGACCATTTAAGAATTCATACTGAAGAGAAACCCTATCAATGTAAGGAATGTGGGAAAGCCTTCCACGCATCTTCCTACCTTCATAAACATCTAAGCACACATACTGGAGAGAAATCCTATAAATGTGATAAGTGTGGGAAAGCCTTCCACACTTCCTCCTACCTGTGGAAACATGTAAGAACTCACAGTGCAGAGAAACCTTATAAATGTAGGGAATGTGGAAAATCCTACAAAAGATGTTATCTATTGAATGAACATTTAAAAACTCATATGGTGGATAAACCCTTTAGTAAGGAGCCACCTGAAGAAATCACCATTATAAGATGGCGCAGGTGGTCCTGCAGCTTGGAGGTAAACAAATCCTTTTGAAGTTGCCGAATGGGCCTTGGCCTGCATTTGCATAACTGAGCCTTGGTTCCCTAGCCTATCCCGAAGCCCGGGCATCAGCAGAATGGTATTCACCAATCAGGACAGTATCCGAGTCCCTCCACCCTAGAAAAGCAGCTGCCTCTGGGCCTTTTGCTCTCTCTCGCTTCCTGCTCTCTCAGGCTTTCTGCTCTCCCCCCCCCCCGTTCCCCCGCTCTCCCTTCAACCGAGAGGCTCCAATAAAGTGTGATCAGAGAAGAATCCTTGATTTCGTGGTAGTTCTTGCTTGCTGGTTGAGCAGCGCGCCACACCCTTTGATTGCAAGGCATGTGAAAAGTCTTTTAGAAGTTCTGCATGCCATAATAAGCACATTCGCCTTCACACTGGAATCAAACCTTATAAATGTAAGTATTGTGGGAAAGACTTTACTGTTTTTTCAAGTCTAACTGAACATTTAAGAACACACACTGGAGAGAGACCCTATGAATGTAAAGAATGTGGGAAAGCATACAAAAGGTGTTATCTGCTGACTGAACATGTAAAAACTCACACTGGAGAAAAGTCCTTTGAATATAAAGTATGTGGAAAACTCTTTGGAAATTCCTCTTGCCTTAATAAGCACATTCGAATTCACACTGGGTTAAAACCCTATAAATGTACGTACTGTGGAAAAGACTTCACTGTTTCTTCTAGCCTAGCTGAACATGTAAGGACTCATACAGGTGAGAAGCCCTACAAATGTAAGGAATGTGGAAAAGTCTTCACAACATCCTCAAACCTCTGCCACCATGCACAAATTCATGATAGAGTGGTTTCCTCCAAGTATCAAGAATGTGGGAAAAACTACAATAAGTTTTATCGACTAACTAAACATTTATAAATAAATCTGACCAAAAACTCTTTGAATGGGAAGAATGTCAAAAGTCCTTCAAGAATTCTCCACATCTTAATCATCATAATGGAATTTACAATGGTGAGAAGCCTTATTAATGTAAGAAATGTTGGTTAGCCTTCAAACCAATCTTGAAATGGTTACTTGAACACATGAAAGCTCTCTTGTTCTCAAGATGCCCATGAATTTAAGAAACATGAGAGCCACTGGAATGTCATCAAAGTGCACTAATGTGTGAGCTCACCCTGGAGCCATATAATGTCCCACAGAAAAGCCCGACTTCCTGGACACTTGCTAAATGCATAAGCTCTTGTAGTGGAGGAACTTGTATGTAATATGGAGAAGTCATTCTGCCAAATTCTTAACATTCACTGTGACCTAACAGTGGAGATGATGCAGGTAAGAAAGTTGCAGTCAGTATCTTCTACATACTATCCTTCAGTCTTTAATAAACATGCAGTTTATTAAACCAAGAGAAAATGAGTGCAGAGTATATTAGAATTATGATCACATCTTGAATTATGTGCTGACAGAGATAGGACCTTCTGATTTTTGTTGATGTTTGAAGCAGCCTAAGCTAGACTCAAACTCAGAGGATTGCCTTGAACTCCTCTTGATCCTCCTATATTCACCTCTTGAGTATTGTGATTACAAGAGTGTAGCGTCACACCCGGTTTTTATCCAGTGCTGGCGAAAGAAACCAGAGCTTCGGGCATCCTAGGCAAGCACTTTACCAGTTACATCCTTAGCCCCTTTTGGGTAGTTCTCATATTTATTTTGGACACTTGTGATTCCACCATTCCCACTACATCATTGTGCCTTCCAGGTTGTTCCGCACAAAAAGTGAACTTCCAGAATATTAACTAATAAATCTGTTGTCTGGAGGTTAAACTAGGATTAAACTTTATATATACCATGTATTCTACCCTGGAGCTGTACCCACACCCTCAAATCCTATTTTATATATAAAACAAGTCCTTCTCTATCACACCAGCCAGCTCCCAAATAAACACACACGGACATATTATTAATTATGAAAGCTTGGCCAATAGCTTAGGCTTATTTCTCATTAGCTCTTATAACTTAAATTAACTCATTTTAATTCATTTGCATGCTGCCACATGGCTCACGGCTTGTTACCTCATCTCCTATGGGTCATGCTTGCTCCGAGTCTCCTCACAACTCTGCCCTTCTTGCCAGCATCCTCTGTACCCCAAAAATGCTGCCTAGCTATTGGCCATTCAGCTTTTTATTAAACAAATCCGAGTGACACATCTTCACAGTATATAAGAAAACTATTCTACAGTATTTCCCCCTATTTGTTTAAAAAGGAAAGGTTTTTAACTCTAACATAATAAAACTATATACAATGAGAACAATTATCAGGTATTATCTAAATAGGAAAGGTACTAATTTTAATAAAAGAAACTATATACAATAAAAATAATTATCAAGTAAGAATTACATTTACAATGTCCAGTCCACTTGTATTTGACAAATTTAGAGAAAATACTCCTTATCTATTCTCTCTTGATGAGTCCAAAGTTTTGTGCCTAATTTTTTTCTATCATGACTAAGGAAAACTAACTATATAGTCTTCAATTCCATCAGAGACCCAAGAAGGACATAATGCCTGAGTAAACAGGAAGTATAGGGCAAACAACTTCCAAAACTGAAACAACAGAGCCATCTGGCTGTCTGGACAGTCACCCAGGTTTCCTCTATAACCTTTGGCCTACAGGCCTAGAATATCTGACAGATTTTTCTGTGAGACAGGAGTTTTGAAAGACTGTCCCACCTTGATTTGGCAAAGGTCAACAGTCACTTTTCTGTGTGTTCTGCATATATATTCTCCAGTTGTCATGATCCACCTGCAGTAGCTAACAGCCAAGTTTGGAGTTCAATACAGTTCTCTTGGGAGTGAAGGATGAGATAGAGTCTTGCTCTATCAGCCAAGTTATCCTAAAGTTAGCATGAACCCATGCTAACCTCAAGCTTGTGACAATTCTATCTCAGCTTCTCAAGTGTTGGGATTACAGGCATGGACAACCATGCCCAGTTTTTTTTTGTTTTGTTTTGTTTTTTAGTTTTTCAAGATATGGTTTCTCAGTAGATATGGAGCCAGTCCTGGAACTTGCTCTGTGGTTCAGGCTGACCTTGAACTCACAGAGAGTCACCACTGCCCAGCTAGGTTTTTTTTTATTGTTTTGTTTTTGGAGGCAGAGTCTCACCATATTGCCCTGACTGGCCTAGAACTCCCTATGTAGACAATACTAGCCTCCAACTCATACAGATCTGTTTTCCTTTGCCTTCTGAGTGCTGAGATTAAAGATATGTACCGCTATGTTCAGCTTTAATGTTGTTCAATTATCTTTTGGAGGACTGGGGATATAGTTCAGTAGTAGAATGCCTGCCTTACCTGCATGAGGCCCTCGATTTGATCAACAGCACCACACACACACACACACACACAAAAGTTATGCTTTCATAACTATTCTTTGTAGATAAAAAGTGAGTACAAAAAGAAGTAAATTGAAGAAAGATGAGTGAATAGCTAGTAGTGGGGAATACCATCCACAATCATAGAGAAATCTGACACCGAGAATGGAAATATTCCTGTAACATCATGTAGTGTAGGGAGAGTAAGAATTCTGAATTTTATTTTTTCTCTTTAGATCTACACCACCGACTGGCAACACAATCAGAATGCATTGCAGAGTCAAGCTACAATAAAACTGACAATAAGCCACCTTTGGGATTTGTCCTTCTGTGAAATATGTACTGTAGAAACAAACTCTTAGAATTTAGTAAGAATGAATGTGGTTGACATCATGTTCTGCTATATTGCAAACCATGTCTAGCAATTCCTGGATGTGTCCTATGGGTGCTGACACCAAGATCAGCACTAGCAGGTTTCAGTCTCAGTAACCCAAATTTGTGTATTTCTGATGCTTGCACAACTTCAGGTTTTGTCCTATAAAGTCATCAGGGCTGTGCCACCCAATGGCTCTTTCTGTGGCTCATATTCTAGCCAGAGTAGCAGTGAACTGACACAAGCTCAACAATAAACCCCAAGTGGAAGAGACCTGTACATCTGTGGTTGTGAATTTGCAGTGAAGAATGTGTCTTTTTTAGGTATGAGTTTGCTGTTTAACCCATGTGTTGCTTTTAATGCTGACACTGACACCATAAATCAGCAGATCAGTTTTGTTTGTTTTTCCCATAAGAAGGGTGTTCCTATGTAAGCCAGACTGACCTCAAATTTGTAATCCTACTGCCTTATCTCATAAGTGCTGGAATTGTAAATGTGTACTGCCATATTGATTCAACCTGATGACTGAATTAATAATTAAATTCTAAATGCAGCTAGGTCATAATTATGCCTAAATATGATATAACCCACATACAACACATAAATTATAAGTTTAGAATAGGTGGCAATATCCCTTGAGAGACATTCTTTTTTTTCTTTTTTTAAGATTTATTTATTATGTACAGTGTTCTATTTGCATTTATGCCTGCAGGCCAGAAGAGGGCGCCACATCTCATTACAGATGGTTGTGAGTCACCATGTGGTTACTGGGAATTGAACTCAATCTCAGGAAGAGCAGCCAGTGCTCTTAGCCATTGAGTCATCTCTCCAGTCCCAAGAGACGTTCTTTTAGTATCTCAATTTAAATATGGTAACCACTGATAGTCTCTTAATTGATGTTATATCACATAATAAAGAAAAATCAAAGAGAACACAAATGCATTCTTAAGAAAATACAACAGAAACACTCATGTCAATTATTCTCATTTCTGCAACTGACCACGTGGTCTTAGCAGAACTTAAAGTTGTGGGAACAGGAAGCAAAATTTTTCTAGTGAGTCACTAGGGGTGATAGTGAGTAGAACTATTCCCTTCCCCATCCCTTTATTCCTGGAGCCATGGATCCTGGCTATGAGCGACACCATATTATATATCGGATGCTGATTCAAAACATTTATCACCTTCTGGAGAACCCTGCCCAAGCCCCCCAAGCTGCAGTCAATTAATTGGTGTTGTAACTATGTCACCACCACCTAGCTTTGGAATAGCCTTTTGAAGACATTTGTGTAGGGGGGACTAAAGAAAAGTTTAGAGCTGGGTATGGTGGCACATGCCTTTAATACCAGCAATTGAGAGGCAGAGACAGACGGATCTCTGTTGAGTTTGAGGTTAGCCTAGTCTACAAGAGCTAGTTCCAGGACAGGCTCCAAAGCTACAGAAAAACCCTGTCTCGAAAAACAAAAAAACAAAACAAAACAAAAGAGGGAAGAAAGCTATTTCTATGAGGCCAGCTGTCTCAGGATGGTGGAGGACATGGTAAGATCAGTGGATTCCATGATTGTGGGCCCACTGTTGCATTTTTGTAGATACGGCATTCTGTAAGTTCACAGATGGTGGTTTTGGGAGAAGCATTACATGCAGGAAAGGCAAACCCATAACGAGAATAACAGTCTACTCCAGTAAGGATAAAGTGTGTCCTCCCCATAGAGAAAGTGGTCTAATGTAGTCAGCCTGCCACCAGATGACTGGCTGGTCACCCCAGGGAATCTTGCCATACCTGCGGCTCAGGGCTAGTCTCTGCTGTTGGCAGAGGTGGCACTCAGCAACAGCTGTAGCCAAGTCAGCCCGGGTGAGTGAAGTCCATGTTGTTGAGCCCATGCATAAGCCCCATCTCTGCCACCATGGGTCCACTGGGCAGTGACAGGAATGGCTGGGCAAAGAGGATGACTGTCCACAGAATGGGTCATCCTACTGTAAAACTTTAAGAAAATTCTGAAGCCATTTATGACAGTTCTGAGCCCTCTCAGTCTCAGCAGTAATGCTCCCTGCTTCCCCCCTGGGAACCAAGGACCTAACAATTGCCCACACACGTAATGAAATGTTGGGAACTTTCCATCATCTCCCTGAGTCCTTGTGAATGTTCTCCAAATAGAACTCAGTTATTGAGTAGGGGCAAGATAACCCTTAGGTGTTGACTCAGTGACTGAGGCTTTGACTTAGGCCCTGGAAAAGGGGCAAAGTGACCCTCAGATGTTTTCCCTTACCTCATCTGATCTGGTTACTGCTCTCCAGCCAATTATTGATAGTAGCCCTTTTGAATAAGTCAATCATAATAGTCAAAGAACAACCCCCACACACCCCCCCCTTTGCTTCTGTGACTTTTCCTTTAAAAGTAGCCTGTAGCAGCTACTCAGGGTCTTTCTAGTCTCCCTAATGCTGGAAGACCCTGTCATGACAGAATTAAAATCCTCGTGCTTTTACATCAGCTGTGGTGGCGAGAGACAGTCTCTGGGGGGTCAATGCCTCCTCGGTGATTGGACTCTAGGGTCCAACACTACCTACTTGATGACTGAATGCTTCCTCAGCTGGTCATGTTTTGACGAGCATTTACATGGGACACAAGTACCTTCACATCCTTCAACAATTTTTGGAGAGATTTACTCACATACTTCTTCCCCAGATGTCTTTCTTACCAATTCTCCAATCCTGTTTTTGCCAAATTCCTGACCATCCAGAAAATCCACTGGCTACAGCCCATCGATCAGTAAACAATTGCACATCTGATCATTCTTCCTTCCAAACAAAATGTATGACCATGTGTACTGCCCAGAGTTCTGCCAACTGGGAATGTTTCCCTTTCCTGCTATCTCTCAGGGTTTTCCCAGAATGAGGATATAATGCTGCAGCTGTGTACTTCTGGGTGGTGCCTGAATGACACACTGAACCATCAGTAATGAAGGCCCTGGTTTTCTCTCCCTCAGCCAACCAATCATAGGGAACAGCCCATGAGGCTACCGGCACATACTTGGTAGCAGACAGCATTGTAATGGGAATAGAAACGATAGACATTTAGGCAGCTTCTTCATGTAACTTGCTTGTGCCTTCAGGACCTGCTCAGGTACAATCATGTATATACATACCACTTCCATTTGATGATAGATTGTTGCTGCTGTACATGTCCTACTTCATGACTTGATGGGTCAGTTAACACCCATCTCATAACAGGCTGCTCAGGTTCCATGGTATCTTAGTGGCCCATTGCCAAATGTTCAGTTTTCACTAAGGCTCAATAACAACTGTCTCTCAAAGGGAAAACAGTTGTTTGCATATGATGGTAGAGCCCTGTTCCATAATCCTAAAGGTCACCTAAGGGACCTGCCACTATGTGCCACTAACACCTCATGTACCATTGGGTCTGATGGATCATACGGTCCAAGTGGGAGAGCAGCCTGCACAGCAGCCTGGACCTGTTGAAGAGCCTTCTCTTGTTGCAGGTCCCACATAAAGCTAGCAGTTTCTGAGTCATTTGGTACATGGGCCAGAGTAACACACCCAAATGAGGAATGTGCTGTTTCCAGAATCCAAATAGGCCCACTAAATGTGTTTCTTTCTTGGTGGTGGAAGGACCCAAGTGCAATAACTTATCCTTCACCTTAGAAGAACTATCTCTTCATGCCCCACAGCATTGGACTCCTAGGAATTTCACTGGGGTAGAAGGCCCTTGAATTTTGGTTGGATTTATCTCCCATTCTCCCATATGCATATTGAACCAATGAGTTCAAAGTGGTTGCTACCTCTTGTTCACTTGGTCTAATCAACATAATGTCATCAATATAGTGTGTCAATGTAATATTTTGTGAAAGAGACAGATGAACGACATCTCTTCTAAGTTATGGCACAGGGCTGGAGAGTTAATATATCCTTGAGATAAAACTGTAAATTTATACTGTGATGGTTTGAAAGAAAATGGCCCCCAAAGGGAGTGGCACTATTAGGAAATGTGGCCTTGTTGGAGGAAGTGTGTCACTATGGGGACAGGCTTTGAGGTCTCCTTTTTTCAAGTTTCCCTCAGTGTGACAGTCAGTCAACTTCCTGTTGCCTTGCAAGATATAATACTCTCAGCTCCAGCACCACATCTGCCCATACCCTGCCATGCTCCCTGTTATGATGATAATGGACTGAACTTCTAAAATTGTAAGTGAGCCACCCTAATTAAATGTTTTCTTTCTAAGAGTCACTGTGATCACAGTGTCTCTTCACAGCAATAGAAAACCCTAAGACGTATACTGCTGCCCTTGCCAACTGAAAGCAAGTTGCTGCTGGTGATCTTTATGAACAGGGACCGAGAAAAAGACCTGCTAAACAAAGAGCTGCACATCATGTACTATGAGATGTACAATCTGCTCAAATAAGGACACCATATCTGGTACAGCAGCTCAACCAGAGTCACTACCTGATTGAATCTTCAATAGTCAACTGTCAGTCTCCATGATCCATCTGTCTTCTGCGTTGGCCAGTGAGAGACATTATTTTGTCTGTGCTGATTATTATGAAAACTACAATCACCTTGCCTTTGGTAATTCAGTGCTGCCCCCTGCCCCCTGATAACTTGGGACCCAATTAAACCCATCACATTAACTTCATCCAGCTGGGCAGCAGCATACCCAACCCTAAGGTGTGGTACAAGAGGAAGGGCAACCACAAAGCTCTTCAAATGCCCTGGCGCCCCCTTTCCATTTTATGTCCTGTGGGATTAGTGAAGGCCATGTCTTCTGGGCCTTCCCATTGTGGAGGATTAGGTTTTACACAGCAAATCCACTCGAGCATTGCAATTGTCCTCAGCCTAAAATCCCTTCATCAATACTAAGCCCAGGGATATTAGGCATCTCCAACCCCTTTGCAATAGGCCAGCTTTTGACAAATACTTCAGTCAACCATTCAGACAAACTTTTGGTGCCTTTTTAAACTGTAAGCGTTCATATTCAACCTACAATCTAGCTGGGCGGTGGTGGCATGTGCTTTTAATCCCGGCAGCAGAGGCAGGCAGAGTTCAAGGTCAGCCTAGTCTACACAGACAATTTCAGAAAAATCAGGACTACTGCATAGTGAGACCCTGTCTTGAAAAACAAACAAACAAAGAACTCCACTATATATACATACATATACTTAGAATCTCCATTCAGAGAGTTCATATCAATATACTCAGCCTGGTTCAGTTTTATGTTTCTTCCACCATTACCTCACACCCTTAAAATCCATTCCTACACATATTTGTTTCTCAGATTTCTGCTTGAATGAATTAGCAAACGCACAAGCTCTTTAGTAGTGTAGGAGTGAGTGTGCTCTCGGAGTACACTCTCTACCTCCTCTCTAGGAGCCTGCTTGGCCTACGTCTGGTTATAATCTGGAGGCAACTATAGGTGGACCTTGAGGGACATCAGTATCATCTTGCCTGGCATTCCCTTCAGAGGAAGTCATTGCTGGTTTAGCAGACAATAAAGAATTGATTTCCTCAGTCAAAGGTGAAAAAGCAATATTTCAAGGGGTGGAGCTGAGGGCAGAGTGACTACTTCGGCTGAGAAAAA